AATGAGATTTAAAACTACCAAATTTATAGTTTTATAAAGTAGACTTTTGAATTCCTTAGGGTCTGACCTGACAGAGCCGTTGTATTACTACCTCTAACGATTTTATCCTGGTCAACACGTGCCATGTCATTACTTTTTCACTCTTTCATTGTCTGCAACCCATTATACTATACAGTGTAAATACTATCCTTTTAGCTATGTATTTGTAGTTTTGGAAGCAGCAATAAAACTCTCATGTAAAAAGCAGTCACACACAGCGAATAGCAGCAAATACATGTGATGACGCACACATGGGCACACAGATCATAGGTTTGGATTTCTTTGCGTCTGATTACCACAGTAAAGATAAATATTGTTATTGTTGAATATCATGAATGCTTGTGTGTGTGTGTGTGTGTGGGGGGGGGGGGTGCGCGTGTGTGTGTGTGTGTCAGTGGTGGGATTAGAGCACATTTCCTTCACGCTGGGAATGTGGTGATGAGAGGCTCCACAACAACAACTTGGGACCTGAAGGATGTCACACTGACAAAGAGGATTTGGAAGCGAGAGAGAAAGTGAGAGTGAGAGTATGTGTGTGTATTGGGGGGGGGGGGGGGGCATCTCTGTCACAGATTAGTCTCCTATTCATCCCTGGCCCTTTTTCTCTCACCTCTCACCAGAAAAGCAGTTCCATGCCATGTGGCATGTCAGTGAAATATTTGAAAAGAATGACTCAGTGATGTCTGACAGTTATTGTTTATTTGGTCATTTCACAGAGAATGATCTAATGCTGTTGACAGGCTTGAAAAACGGTGTAATCTTGCAGCAATCGGCTTGATAGCAGTCTCACCACTTTCCACTGATGTTTTATTGTTGCTGTTAACTGTAAATGAGATTTATTGTACTACACAGAAAAAAACAATATGGCTTTAAAGAGCAACCTGCCTTTTGACTTATAGATGCCAGCCATCCTGATAATGCCATTTTACCCCAAAAATTTCACAAACACTAAATTATGTAAGTAACCATATAATCGATACACCGAATTTGATATTTACATGGACTCTAAACATCCATCCATCCATCGTCAACCGCTTATCCTGCGTACAGGGTCGCAGGGGGCTGGAGCCTATCCCAGCTGACATCGGGCGAAAGGCGGGGTACACCCTGGACAGGTCGCCAGTCAATTGCAGATTATACTTTGCATAAAAGCCTCAATGGGTTGAAGGAGGGCCACAGAATTTTCACACACTTAAGGCTAATTTCACGCCGGATCTGTATCACAGGAAGCTTGGTATTCACTGTTGTTTTGATCTACTTGTCTCACTTATTATAGATTAAAAAAAAAGAAAAGAAGACGGCTTCAACTAATGAGAAATGAATGCTGCCTCTGGTAAATGTCATTAAAAAGCTATAAATTTAATTGGTTTCTACATTAACTTCTGTAAATTTACTGCACCAGATTTGAATTTCAAATGAAGGCAGTCACCTAGAATTTGTGAGATACACTCAGTCCGTTAAATATGTTGTTACACAAAAGCAGCTTTGTTTTAATTTAAAACATGAATACCAATTATCATAAATTCATCTGTGTGCTGCTGAATGATGCAGCTTGACTTCACACATCCCTTCTGGTAGCTGTGTAAACCATATTCAATATTCAAATTTATATTATGAAACTTATTCATTTATGAAAATGAATCTTTGAGCTGTCCCTGGCAGATTTTGGCACTCCGACAGCTTTATATCTTTGTCATTTCCATATCGGCTTGAATGGCTGAATCTCTGCTTGTGGTAGAAGGAATACCTGAGGATGGCAAACACAGTCACTTGATTAACTTCCTGTCATGAGCTCAGCTGCCACATTCTCTGGGCATCAAGGTACACACAGAGTATTGTTACAACGCCTCATTTGCAAACATGCTGCATTTTTTTCAATTAACCAGCAGACATGTCAGCTGACTTCTCAAAAGAACACTCAATTCATCATAGACTTGATTTGATATACAAAGCTTAATGACATTGGAAAGCACAGGACAAGCAAATGGATAATGAAGCCATATTTAGAAAGACTGAAAGACAAATGAAACATCTGACCTATACAGTGGGTACGGAAAGTATTCAGACCCCTTTAAATTTTTTACTCTTTGTTTCATTGCAGCCATTTTCCAAAAATCAAAAAAGTTCATTTTATTTCTCAGTAATGTACACTCAGCACCCCATCTTGACAGAAAAAAACAGAAATGTAGAAATTTTTGCAAATTTATTAAAAAAGAAAAACTGAAATATCACATGGTCATAAGTATTCAGACCCTTTGCTCAGTATTTAGTAGAAGCACCCTTTTGATCTAATACAGCCATGAGTCGTTTTGGGAAAGATGCAACAAGTTTTTCACATCTGGATTTGGGTATCCTCTGCCATTCCTCCTTACAGATCCTCTCCAGTTCTGTCAGGTTGGATGGTAAACGTTGGTGGACAGCCATTTTCAGGTCTCTCCAGAGATGCTCAATTGGGTTTAAGTCAGGGCTCTGGCTGGGCCATTCAAGAACAGCCACGGAGTTGTTGTGAAGCCACTCCTTCGTTATTTTAGCGGTGTGCTTAGGGTCATTGTCTTGTTGGAAGGTAAACCTTCAGCCCAGTCTGAGGTCCAGAGCACTCTGGAAAAGGTTTTCGTCCAGGATATCCCTGTACTTGGCCGCATTCATCTTTCCCTCGATTGCAACCAGTCGTCCTGTCCCTGCAGCTGAAAAACACCCCCACAGCATGATGCTGCCACCACCATGCTTCACTGTTGAGACTGTATTGGACAGGTGATGAGCAGTGCCTGGTTTTCTCCACACATACCGCTTAGAATTAAGGCCAAAAAGTTCTATCTTGGTCTCATCAGACCAGAGGATCTTATTTATCACCATCTTGGAGTCCTTCAGGTGTTTTTTAGCAAACTCCATGCGGGCTTTCATGTGTCTTGCACTGAGGAGAGGCTTCCGTCGGGCCACTCTGCCATAAAGCCCCGACTGGTGGATTGCTGCAGTGATGGTTGACTTACTACAACTTTCTCCCATCTCCCGACTGCATCTCTGGAGCTCAGCCACAGTGACCTTTGGGTTCTTCTTTACCTCTCTCACCAAGGCTCTTCTCCCCCGATAGCTCAGTTTGGCCGGACGGCCAGCTCTAGGAAGGGTTCTGGTCGTCCCAAACGTCTTCCATTTGAGGATTATGGAGACCACTGTGCTCTTAGGAACCTTAAGTGCAGCAGAAATTTTTTTGTAACCTTGGCCAGATCTGTGTCTTGCCACAATTCTGTCTCTGAGCTCTTCAGGCAGTTCCTTTGACCTCATGATTCTCATTTGCTCTGACATGCACTGTGAGCTGTAAGGTCTTATATAGACAGGTGTGTGGCTTTCCTAATCAAGTCCAATCAGTATAATCAAACACAGCTGGACTCAAATGAAGGTGTAGAACCATCTCAAGGATGATCAGAAGAAATAGACAGCACCTGAGTTAAATATGAGTGTCACGGCAAAGGGTCTGAATACTTATGACCATGTGATATTTCAGTTTTTCTTTTTTAATAAATTTGCAAAAATTTCTACATTTCTGTTTTTTTCTGTCAAGATGGGGTGCTGAGTGTACATTACTGAGAAATAAAATGAACTTTTTTGATTTTTGGAAAATGGCTGCAATGAAACAAAGAGTGAAAAATTTAAAGGGGTCTGAATACTTTCCGTACCCAGTGTATATGTAGGCTTTGTGGCAAAAAGTCATCCCATAAAACAATTCTCTCTCTTCTATTCTATTCTTTTTTGTTTGCTTTTTGGAGCAGACAAAAATTACCCTGCATGGCTGGTTGTGTGTGAGTGAGTGAGTGAGTGAGTGAGCGAATCTGTGTAGTGTTTTTGTGTGACGTGGTCTGGGTTTGAACTTTGTCGACTGCACGCACACCCTGGCTCTGTGCTACAGGGAAATGTGGGCGTTGTGTCTGCCAGGCCTCTTACACTTGGCTTGTCTACATGCATTACTCACACACACACACACACACACACACACACACACACACACACACACACACACACACACACAAATACATGTGTACACATCTGCAAACACACACTTACCACAGAGAGACACACATAGTCATGGGTGCACAAATACGTAAGTCAGACACACATGCATAACAAGAGTCACTGGGGAACCAAGTCCATTGAGGATTTCATCTCGCTAAATTGTTAATATGCAAACTGGCCAAGCCTACCGGGCAGCTAGCGGCATGATAACATTAGCTTCTGTAATTCACATCAACTCCCCCATACCCCACACCCTCTTGGTGTCTCTCTTACTTCATGGGTCTTCCTGCTGCAGTGTGGCTCATAGGACTCTAATCTAATTCAGAGTTGTTCAGTCACGTTTACTGAGGTGACGTTAATGCAACAGCACTGCAGTTCACTCTCACATCATCTCCTGCATCCAGTAGATGGCCTCATTGTGCCTCTGTGTGCATGCCTGCTGGCTACAAGTTCATCTCCGGACATCACTGCACCTTCATTTTTAGCTCCTCTCTTTTCTTTTTGTGTCTTTACAGCAGCCATCATTATATTTGTTTGTCAATGTAGGTCCATTCTAAAATAAAGTGCAAAGAGATGAAGGGAACGCTATTGTATCATTGTAAAAAAAAAAAAAAAAAAAAAAGACATTGAGATGATGTAGCCTATGATATTGGTAAATGAGAACGTCACCAAAATCTGACACCAACCAGATAAACAAAATTTAAAAAACTGAGAAACAAAAAAAAAAATGGAAATCGATTCTCTGGTAATAAACTTTCCAGCATTTAGACACTTTGCCATACATTTAGGTCAGGATTTTGTCATCATAAACCATGGAGCTAAACTCAACAATAGGTACGCTGTATAATGTCAATTGGGGCGGCTTTGCCCTCCACAGCCTCCCCTGGATAGATGGAGCAGTTGTGGCAAAGAGACCGTGGCGCACGGCAGCAGGCAGCAGCTGAGCGGAGAGAGAGGAGCGCGCATGAAAACGGTCTTGGTGAGACCAGAGTCATTCCCATCACTCTCCGCCGGCCGGTCAAACCGCAGACACACCACAGGGAAACAGAATGTTCCACAAGGATGACCCTAAAAAGAAAAGCATATAAGGAATGATAAAACGCATGAGGACGGTCGCAACAGGGGAGCGTATCTGATTTCCCATGGGCGAGAGCGCTGAGGGGGTGAGCTCCTTCTCCTTCACCTGGTACCAAGGTACAAGTTGGATGTATGTCAAAGACGTGGATTTCGGGGGACTGAATATTTTTATTAATTTGTTCAATTAACGTTGTTGAACATGGATTCAATTCTTTTCAAATCACCCCAAGACGTGGCTGAAGGTCCTGAGCTGTCCACATGCACGGAGACATTTAGAAAATAAGAAAACACACTACGCCTCTGTTTCAAAGACGTCAACCCAGGGATTTCACTACCTGAGATGATTTAGGTACGTGGCCAAAATCACTCTTGAATGTTTTGAAAGCTGAGCGGTCGTTTTTGCTGTGTCCACACAAACAAACATGCAAACTAAACCAAAAAACAGTGAACTAGTATCTGGATTATAACATGTCAGTATATAAAAAGAACAGTAATTTTGATGAGCTTTCTTACATGTGATGAATTAGACATGCATCTCCTTGATATCAAAATTGACTTTTGAGACTTTTGAATGCCGTTTCCAGCGTACATTTTTTTTTTTTTTTTGGCTCACCACTCAGGTGGAAATGTTGGCAGTAGACTGTTCTACGTCCATCCACTGGGAGCTAAGCTCAAACAAATGAAAAAAATAAATGAAATTAAACGCAACACCTAGCAGCCGGGGTGGATCATAGATACAGGCACCAATATAATCGCATGGACACGCCTCGAGGATCATTAAACAAATCAGATAAACGCAGCGCGAAAACCATCAATAGAAATTATTGATGAGGTGGTATATAAGGCTAATGATTGGCCAAGCCTCTGTTTACTCAACAGCTCCGCAACAATATGGTGTGAAACTTTTGCTCATGGCTTGACAACAGGCATGCAGTAAGAGGAGAAAACGGAAACAATGACTTTACTTTTTATGTAATTTTTATTGCTGCTTTATACCATTCCATGACTACAGTGCTGAGTGGAAGAATAATTGCAAACAACAGCTGGAATATTCCTCCTCAAACTAGAATGTCTGCTGCCTGTACTGCTGCCGCAGGAATTTATGAACCAGGCATTTTTGGGGGGCACATTTCCGAAGAGATTTTTTTGAAATATTTATAGCAGTTCTTGTGCAAGGATGGTGGTTGTGACAAGGAACCTATGGATGACCCAGCCTGTGGGAGAGCTGGTGCCGAGACAGTTGACCTCTCTACCAGCTACGCCGTCAGTCTAAAATTCCTCCTTAGAGAGGCACAGCTACTGCAGGTTGGGGATGTGATGGGGTGACTGTTGACACCCCCTCACCCATCCCCTCTCTCGTTTTATTAGCAGTGTAATATAAACAATGGATCAGAATTTCACAACGGTTCGAGATGGCAAGCAGCTGCTACCAGAGAAAGACTCGTCCAAGCGTGTGCTGACAGGGTGCTTCCTCTTCCTCCTCATCTTCACCACGCTGCTAGGCAACACACTTGTATGTGTTGCCGTCACCAAGTTCCGACACCTGAGGTCGAAGGTCACCAACTTCTTTGTTATCTCCCTGGCCATCTCTGACCTTCTGGTGGCCATCTTGGTTATGCCATGGAAAGCAGCTACTGAGATTGTGGGGTTTTGGCCATTTGGTGCGTTCTGCAATGTATGGGTGGCGTTTGACATCATGTGCTCCACTGCTTCCATCTTGAACCTGTGTGTGATTAGTGTCGACCGTTACTGGGCCATCTCAAGTCCATTCCGCTATGAACGCAAGATGACCCCTAAAGTGGCATGTCTGATGATCAGTGTGGCGTGGACCCTGTCCATCCTCATCTCCTTTATTCCTGTTCAGCTTAACTGGCACAAAGCTCAGACCATCAGCTACGCAGACCTAAATGGAACATACCCAGGCGATCTGCCCCCTGACAACTGCGATTCTAGCCTTAACAGGACCTATGCTATCTCCTCCTCCCTTATCAGCTTTTACATCCCTGTAGCTATTATGATCGTCACCTACACCCGGATCTACCGCATTGCCCAGAAACAGATACGGAGAATATCTGCCCTGGAGCGAGCGGCGGAGAGTGCCAAAAACCGTCACAGCAGCATGGGGAATAGTTCGAACATGGAGAGTGAGAGCTCATTCAAAATGTCGTTCAAACGAGAAACCAAAGTCTTAAAGACGCTCTCAGTCATCATGGGAGTGTTTGTGTGCTGCTGGTTGCCCTTCTTCATCCTTAACTGCATGGTTCCGTTCTGTGAGACGAACTTGCCGGACGGTTCCACAGACTTCCCCTGCATCAGCTCCACCACCTTTGATGTGTTTGTGTGGTTTGGCTGGGCAAACTCCTCACTCAACCCCATCATCTATGCCTTCAATGCCGACTTCCGCAAGGCCTTCTCCATCCTCCTGGGCTGCCACCGGCTCTGCCCGGGGAGCAACGCCATTGAGATCGTCAGTATTAACAACAACATGGGTGCCCCTACCTCGAACCCAAACTGTCAGTATCAGCCCAAGGGTCACATCCCAAAGGAGGGCAACCACGCAGCCAGCTATGTGATCCCTCACAGCATCCTGTGTCAGGAGGAGGAGTTACAGAAGAAGGATGGATGCGCAGGGGAGATCGAGGTAGGGATGGTAAACAACGCCCTGGAGAAACTCTCCCCAGCCATTTCTGGGAATTTAGACAGTGACACTGAGGTCACACTGGAAAAGATCAATCCCATAACACAGAATGGACAGCATAAAGCTGTGTCATGTTGAAAAAAAAGGCAAAGATGGATCAGAGTACACTAAGGCATGTAAGTACGTACTAAGAGAAGAAAAGCTTACACAGGAGGACAGCAAAAAAAAAGAGACAGACATCTTAAAGAACATGCCTGACAGGGAAACAGTTTGTGGGATATACAGGACCATAAGACTGTCAACAAAAATCTACGTGGAAAAACCGACAGAATGTTTTAAAGTAAAGGCACTTTATCCTGGATATAACTATCTGCAAAATACATTCAGCATTTATTAATGAAATTGACACATTTGATGATAAATGTTGATAATGTCAATATTAAAGCAGAACACTAGCTAGGTGCACATGTATACATTTTTTTATATTTACAAAAATGTATACATCTGCATGTGTATACTATACAGTACTGACACAATCCTGCAAGGACTCTAACACAGTATACACAGTGGAGGAATATGTAGTAACTATTAGCAAAATGTCTTGTAGGTAGGTGCTTTGTATGTGTTTCATGGAGGAGAGAACAATGTGGGTAAATTAGTGGTTTTGGTACAGTACGATTAGTTTATTGCAGTTATTTCTCTTACATTTTTATTGACAGTTTTATTGCAAAACACCTGTATTGCATTGATAATTTATTTGAGTTAAAACTGCTTCAAACACCAAAGTTACAATATTCTGATTCAGACTTAAAAGGCAGGGGACATATAATGGAATTCAATACTGTAAACCAAGTTGTCATATATTTTTAAACATTTAATTTTTGCAACCCCCCCCCCCCCACCCATGTTATCTTGCAGTATCTCCAGATTTTTATAAAATCTGATATGTTCAGAGGTCCAACTGTGTGTGTGTGTGTGTGTGTGTGTGTGTGTGTGTGTGTGAGAGAGAGAGAGAGAAAGAGAAAGGGGGGGGGGGAGTCATGGTCTACTTTTCTTCCCTTGTGTCCTATCCTATCCATTCCATCCTCAGTTGTGCCCACCTGGGACCAATCAGACTGGCTCACCTGAAGTTTCTTCCATTTCTTCTCTTCAGTCCCTGTTTTCATTAGCTTTGTCTTCCCCTCTCTGCCGCTCTTCAGCAAATCCTCTCTAGGGGACCTGTGGTCTCCTCTCCTTTCCATTTTCCTGTTCTCCTTTTTTCAGTCAGCAAAGTTCCTTCCCCTCCTTGTGCTGCCCCTATTTCTTCAGTGTTGTCAACCTCTTCCCTCCTTTCTCCTCTCCATTGTTCCCTCAGTCAGCATGGTCCTTTACATCTGCACCATATCTTGCATATATGGTTTTCGTCTGCCTCCTCCTCACCATTTCCTTTGGCAGCCCTCCATTTTAAGTCCTTTCTCTGACCACTTAAAGGGGCACTAATGGTTCTAATTTTGGCAAATGCTGTGAGTCCATAATTAAAAAAAGAATGTAAATCTGGAAACTAAAACACCCGCACTTGGACAGAGAAGGCAGAGAAACAGTAGCAGAGTTTACTCAGCCATAATGCAAGTGACACTTCGTGACCTTTTGCAAACTTGCAGATATCTGATTTTATAAATTGCTCATGCTGGGAGCCATTCTGTGTTGTAGCGGCCATGTGGATCATACAGTGTGACAGTTGCTCTGCTTGCAGGGGTGAAGTTCAAGATAAACCACCATGATGAGGATAACCTCAAGATTTTGGACATATTTTTATCACCTCTGCTCTCCCTGTAATTTGTTTTTGCACTGTAGATTTTTTTTAAATAAAGACACAGCAAAAATTACAATTTAAGTTTTTACGTTAGTCAAAAAAATATTTTACAAAAGGTAGAGTAAGTCAGTCCTACCTGACTTACTCTACCTTTTGAAATGCTTGTGAAGAGTGTTACTGATTTTATGCCACAGATTTGCTGTTAAACTACATTTTAAATATACCTTTCAATTGACATGTTTGTCCTCAGCATCAGTCTTTGCCCTGATTGCATTGAAATTTTACAGTTACTTTACAAAATGTAATAGTTTGCAATAGTTTGAGTTTCAAGTGAGACTATGTAACATTTGCCTAACATTGACAATTAGTGAAGGTTATGTGATAATGGTAAATGCTATAACATAGTGTAGCAGTAGTAGATAGAGTAATCAAGTCATGGAAACTGACTCTGAAATTTCCGTTATACAGCTAAATTGATCTAAGGGTTGGTGACTTTAGCTAGCATTAGCCACCATAAGCTAGCCCACTGGTGATACCAGACCAAGTGAGGCTGTAGCTGCCAAACTCCTGAGTGTATTTAATTAAGCAATGGTGTATTTCATTGCTAATGCATTCAAATTTAATTGGTAAAAGGGAAAATGTGTTGTTCCTTCTTTCAGAAGTTACATAGCCTTGCTTTAAGTTTCAGTTTTATGTATATTTACCTGCTAAAATCAAACATAAGGACAGAGAACATGATTTTAATGTAGGGAGTGGGGGAAAAATGACCTATTCATTACCTCTACCTAAATGATTAAAGACAGGAACAATTATGTCAAAGATATATGTAGTTCACACTTTTATTCTAAAGTTTGACTAAACTTTAATTAAACTGTATATTTTTTCAGAGTTTAAATAAATTAAAAGTGTGCCACATATTATTATCAGAGTCAGACATAATTAGCTCTCTAGTCGAAGCCTATACAGCTAGTTTTCTGTTCAGTTTAGTGTTGCTGGGGAAAGAATGCTTTCTGACATTGTATGCTGAGCGTCCACCGTGTGCTGTGTGTGTCTATGAAGGCGTGAAACTGTTGCACATCAGGGAAAGGAAGAGCTGGGCCAATAGAAAGCAATTGGTCTTGAACGAAGCATTTGATTTTCCTGCTCTGGAAAATCCAATGCTATCTAGATGGCATTATAGGGAGGGGGGCTTTTAGCTCAATATGTGGCTTGGCTACTGACACAAAAGCAACTCAATGTCCTTTTTGCCTCTCTGTCCTCGGCGCCTGCCAGTTGCTGCTCCATTAATCAGAAATGGACATTTATTAGCTGGAATTTAGATTCGCTATCTTTTTATTATAATTTGATAAGATTTTGTGCTTAAATTCTATTTGAAGTGGCACAATATACTAAAACTCCACCTTCTAAGTCCTATGCCTTTTAGAAATCCTCAACCATATCAGCTCATTGACCCACCCATTTTGTTCTTCATCAGTTACTCTTAATTTACTTCCTAATTATTTCCAAACACAAGCCAGCTCAAAAATCAGGAAAAGTCAGGATTGGACATGCAAGGAAACTGCCTTGATGAAGATTTGGCCCTCCCCTTCACACCCACGCTCTACCATCCTTTTTCTCTATCTCTTTTTCTTTTCTCTTGGCTGCCTCTGTCGACTTGATGAGCGTTCCCGATGTTAACACAGATTTAATTTATTATTGAACAGACAAGGCTTACTGTTTCCCTTCTGTAGTTTAAATCAGAACACTGAATCAAAGCCCCACCTGGCTGTTTTATAATTAAAATTATTATTATTATTATTATTATTATTAATATTGTTGTTGCCAAAATTTAAATGTTTGGCTGAATGTGGCTTTAATGTAGGTTATGCTGTGATTTAACCAGTGTTTTATAAGCTGAAACTTGGGGGATAGGGGTACTAATTATATAGAGATTAATCTGCCATTTGTTGTGACATCATCGGCAATTACAGGTTTACCATATGTTTTCTCGTATATGCTGTATGTACACATTTATAGAAACATACCTCTGGCTGAGAATTGAAGTGCTGTAATGTAGCTCCATGTAACCCCCCCGAGCCCTCACCTTGTCAACTTGGTGAGTCATATTTCCAGATGCCACTGCTTTGATTTTGGAGAAGGGCGATGTCAGGCAACAATCCCACAAGCGAAATGTTTTGTTTGATCCGGAGCATTTCCTGTAGGCTGCCCTACAAGTTGCTTTGGGGAGCTGTAGTGACAGTACAAGGTCCCTCAATCAGTGTAGTGACATGACATATGACAACTTAAGCAAATCTGACAGTGCAGAATCTCGGATGGCGGGCCAAGGGACACAGCAGACGCTGGGCTGAACAACACTCCCAGGCTCTGGGAATGTGGAGGCATTTTAATGACGATGTTTCAGCTTAGTTAAACTGTCTAGGATAATGACGGAGTCCCTACCTCGACATCGATTCAGTAACAAAGCTTCATGTAAAAAAATTAAATTGCAGTATTTAGGGTTGGGGAGTGCAGGGATAGAGTATTGTACAATGATGTTAAAAATGTAGTTATGATGAACACAAGTGCTTATTATCTTCAGAAATCCTTAATGTGTGTAGCAAACTTACATGCAGTATGTTTTCTCCTGTATGGGATTCTAATTTACAGTAAGATGCAACATTCACTGACTATATATTTATTTATTTACATGTTTCTGTAAATGTTCATTCATGAAAGTGATGTCAAAGATTATAACCCTCAGAATAATTACAGTATTTAGTTTACAGTTTGTACAAAAAAATGTGCCCTTCTTGTAAAATAAACATGTATGTATTTTTTTTTTTCAATTGCGCTCACTGAGTTGTGTTTATTTGAGAGGATGTGAGTGGTGTTGTGCCTTTGACACTGAGTGGGTATGGGAAGATCATGTCACTGAAGAGGATCGATGGAGATTGATTTTGAATAGTGACGCATATTTTTTTCCAGCTCCCTGAGCCTGGTGTCCTCACTGTGTTCCTGCTTTCGCCCCGCATTTACATAACCTGACAGCCACTTGACAGTTGACACATCCTCTTCCTCTACTCTCTTACCCACTTCATTTGTTAAGTTAAACTTGGGGACAAACACATACAGACCCAAATGCACACACAGTAACATTTCAAGAGCTAAAACCTATAACAATAAAGGAACAAAACACACATTCTTGACAAATAAAGCTGCACGTGATTAAAGGAAAAAAACATTTGTGAGAGTGATACCCAAACAAAACAGGTCTTGCGGTATGGTCTCGTTCGGGAAGTAGCCTGTACTTGTCCCTGTTAGATGTGCAATACGTTAAAGAATTGCGTTTTGTATTTAACTGTCTGAATTGGATTTAGCACACAGCCATGGACGTCAATAGGCCTATTATAGGGGGACTGAAGCTACCCTAAAATGGTCCTAAGCCACCCAAAATAAAAAATAAAAATAATTATTGGATTTAGATATTATTTTTATAGTGCAGACATTTACTCAACACAGAGAAGCAAGAATAATGTTAAATACTATAGAATAATACAAATATAATTTGTATTTATATGCTTAAAATAATCGTTGTGGTTGTTTCCTCTGCTTCATAATTTAAATGCCTACTGGAGTCGGGCACTAGGACCCTGAGGGAGGCTGCGTTTCATCGCTGCTCTGCTGAGCTGCTTTACACACACACACACCGACACACAGACATGGTGAAGGAAGATTGTTTCAACATAGTGAATGATACAGAGTAAACTGTTAGTTGTTGTTAAGTACTTTCTGAACTTAAGCTACGTTTACTTGAGGTAAAGGAAAGGCGATATTTTAGTGCCTATGGAAAACACTAGTCTAGGCAGTGTGAATGCCATTAACTATCTCTAGTAGCCTATTTCAAAACAATTTCAGTTGTTGTCAGTGAAAACTAAATGTCATAGTGTCCATGTTAATGCTGTTGTACTAGTATATCCTTTAATTCATTGACCAGATTGATATTGAAGATATTTTAGAAGAGAGAGAAGCAGGAGATTGGCAGGGCAGCTGATTCTGAGGTCAGCAGTGCTCTACAGGTCATTATTGGTCTATAGGTCAGTAGTGGTCTGCAGGTCAGTAGTGGTCTACATGTCAGTAGTGCTCTACAGGTTAGCGGTAGTCTATAGGTCAGTAGTGGTCCACAGGTCAGTAGTGGGGTTTTATTTTCTTCTAACAACAGGCATTTGTTGGCAAATCTAGGCACCAAGGCAGAGCCTAAACTAAATTCTTTCATGATATTTATTATATTTGGTATGTTCTGATCCACTTAATTTTCACTAACTTGCATTTATTGGCTGTAATAAATTAAATAAATATATAGATGTTGCCTAAATGTAGGCTAGGCTATACAAGAGCATATACCCACAGGTATACACACAAAAAAATATAATAAAAGCATACATATAGTAATCATTATTCCAATTCTTTTATTCCCTTCACCATCAGGCTAATAAATTCAGACAGTAGCCGTTTAAAATAGGATCCTTATCAACAGCTTACTTATGTAGGTTTGCAAGCCAAACTACAGAGCAAAATTATAATCTGATTTAACCAATCTACAGTGCAGTAACAGTAATTAGTGTAATTAAATAGCATTCTTTGGGCCAACCCATTCTCACTCCCTATATGTCACAAGAAAGGGAAGTAAAGGCTGGACTACAAACGAGCTGTTTTCAGGCAGTTCAGAGCAGTGTTTTCTGTGGGAGATGGGCTTTGGGCTTTTTCACTTTGCAAACCTAGTACATGCACAAAAAAGATATATAACTCAATAAAGGAGAGGGAAAAAGCCAAAAACCATAATACCACCTCTTTAACTTACGTGTTAACTGACATACGTAGTTATTTTAACCCAAACCATGATCCTTTCCTAACCTTAACCAAGTACTTTTGTTGCTTAAACCTAACCAGGTACCTGTTAACCTTAAATCTTTAAACAAATTACAACGTTTCACAACTTAAATAACGTGCCATTTCAAAATGGCGATGTTTCAAAACGCTAGCATTTTCTTTTGAAAGAGTAACCGGACGTTGCACATGTATTCTTCTTACTTTACCGGACATTGCATATTTGTGGTTGCTAAGCGTTGCTAACTTGACCGCAGACCCCTAAACATCTAAAAAATTACCCAGGGCGTTAAAAAGCTACACCAAAGGGCCATGACCGAGCGTCAATATGTCACGAGTCGGGAGTGAAAATGTGTTGTTTGGACCTGCAACTTATCTAAGAGAGAGAGGAATTAGATAAGGTATTACTTTATTGCGCATTTACAGGAGCAGCTGGAGCATTTGAGTTATAGCCTACAGAAGAACTCAGTCTGGCCTAAGTAAATTCGCCCCATGCAGCTTTGCTGAGTCTAAAAGCTAAAATTACAGTAAGTTTTATTCAACATAGGAGAAATGGAAGAAGAGAATATATCTGTCGCTTTTTACCTGTAACATCTTTGCTTCTTGACTGGTTGTTGACAAAGGTGTAGTTCCAATACAGTAACAAAAGATGCGAGTGCCAAGATTTTGCAAGCACAAGTTAAGCATACCCTGGGGGCTGACGTCCCTGCCCACAGCTATTTTGCCTGTATAGAAACTGGAATGATGATCAATAATCTCTCTTCAGCACACTTGGTTATAGCTTGTTTCATCAGTGTTTCACCTGAAGGCAAGAAATTTATCTAAATCAGTACGACCACTCAGAAAGACATGTCAAAACCCATGACCTGCAAGTTAAACTGTCTGACTGTTGAGTTATACTTCAAAGCACTGCTTTACATATCCCTGGTGAATTAAGCAAGGTGAGAATCAATGGTGAGCAGATTAGTCCAGTGCTTAATCTCATTTCACACATCCATGCATTTGCTCTATATACATTAATTAAGGATCAATATATCAAAATTAGTAAATGTACCTTAATCTCACAAAAAAACGTTTTTGGATTTTAGAGTGTGGCTCGATAAAGTCGGGAGAAAAAATACATAAGCAAGACTGCAATGTCCCCCTGGCTGACCACTGTAGCTGCCAGTGCTGCTTTAACTAACATCTGTTTGATTTTGTCTTACACACACATACACATGCACACACAAACATTCTGGAGTAATTTCAAAATGAAATTGGATCAGTAGTGCTTGTAACTGAAATTAAATTGAAATTGCTACTGATTATAATCATTAGGACACTGCAGAGAAAAATAAATAATTTCAACCTTTGCTGTTTGTATTATAATATATGTGTATAAAATTGAAAGGTATCCATCTATATACAATATCTGATATTTACACATGCTGTGACCAGATTGCTTTTCGCATGGGTGATGTATTGATATGCACAAGTTTATCCAGTGCTCTTATTTTTAAATCCACCTAACCAAGAGCACATTCTCAATGGCATCAATGCGTAGTGGTTACAGGAGAAATTCGTGTTTGAAATACACTCCAAATTAATTTTTTATGTTTGCACAAGCAAAATGGCAGCCCCCCAAAAAGAACAGTGATTAACACAGGCTCTAAAGCCGATGTTGACAAATCTTCCGCACAGACGCCAAACACAGCCCTGGTGGCTTTTGTTCAAAAATGTTATAATTGATTTAGATACACATTCATTGCACTTTCACACAAGTTCTTTCAGTCACTTGTTTCCTGTTAGTTCTTGATTTAAACAATGCTGAGAGCATACTAAATTCAATTGTTGTTTGAGAACACTTTCAATAATTAACCCTTATTAACTTTGTGAGCTCTTTTGAGCAATCATGTACAAAGTCACTCATCCCTTAGCTGAATGGATGAATGAATGAAAAACGTAATTATGGACATAATTCGTAGAAGAAAGGACCAAGAAAGGTTACAACCCCGGAATTTTCAAAGTGCCACTTGATATAATTATTGATAATAATTGGTTTATGAACCTGCTGCAGTTTCTCATTGGGCTTAAACTCAGAACTCTAGGGCAACAATTTAGCTTTCATATACCATGATATATCTCCCTCTAATAACAGGAAGTTCCCATAGTCTATATGTTCTATAAAACGAGTTGCAAGACATGTTTTCCATCAGGTTTAATAGGCTTTATTTTGAACAACGTCTGGGGAAGATATTGACAAAAGAGAGTAATTCTGCAAAACATGAAAAAGGTTTTGTAAAGACATGCCTGACTATCGTGTGAGCGTCCTATTGGAAAAGGAGATTTATCCTGGTGTTTGAAGGCCTAACTTTTGTGTATAAGGCCTAATTAAATTGTGTATAAGCCCAGTGAAAGTTTTATGTTTGAGAGTTTTGTATGATAAGTAAAGCTATTAGTGTAGTGATGCTATTCACTTTCAAATTATTCAAATTATTTCAAATAATACATAATAATAACATCTGGATTGGAAAACAACAACAAAAACAACAAGGAGTCTATTGTGTAAATCCCAGCATTTCTGACATACTGGCACATCCCAAATAAGCCTGTGTATTGATATTTAACCTATCCTGATCCAGCCTGAGAGAGAGAGAGAGAGAGGCAGGAGTAGGGTCACAGTGGAAATTCAGTCAAGGTTAATGATAGACTGCAGGCAGCAAAATGTAACATAGTGTTGTACCCGTGTGTGTATATGTGTGTGTGCATGCATGCATGCATACGTGCATGCGTTCGTGCATGCATGCATACCGCTGTAATGTGCTTATGTAACTACACCAGCTCTCATTCAGCTCCTTTGCTGATTCCCAACTTAACTGAAGCAGCATGTAGCTTCCTTTCCTAAATCCAGAGCCCTGCACCTTGCTGATACATTTGATAGAGATTAACCACATGGCCAGTCTCTAAACTGAGATAATATATATTTTGTAGAAATGTAGGGAGTTTTCCTGATAGACACTGGTCTATACAGAGCCAATTTTAATAACTTGTGTGCACAAATGAATTATTCCTACACTCAACGGTGCGGTGGTTAGCACTGTTGCCTCACAGCAAGAAGGTTGTGGGTTCAAACCCCGGTTGCCCTGGCCTTTCTGTGTGGAGTTTGCATGTTCTACCCGTGGGTTCTCTCTGGGTGCTCCGGCTTCCTCCCACCATCCAAAGACATGCAGGCTAGGTTGATTGGTTACCCGCCTTGCGCCCGATGTCAGCTAGGATTGGCTCCAGCCCCCCCGCGACCCTGTACGCAGGATAAGCAGTTGACGATGGATGGATGGATGGACTACAGTCAGTTATTTTATTAGAGGGAGATGAAGTTACAGACTGTTGTTGCTTTGGTCAGTTAGAGCCACCTAGAGCTTAGCTGCAGGCCAACAGCATAAAGCAATAATTTCAATTTGTCGTTTTCCCCTCAACACTCTCTTTCTCATAGGCTTAAACAATGTAAATGACAAAACCTGTATGTAATTTAGGCCATGTGGCTGTGGTGGTGGGGTAATGGAATACCACAAAACTGATCTCGTATCTCCTCCCACTTTCTTTGACTTTGCCATATTTGTTTCAGAGAGTTCCCTGATGGTTACATGCTTTTCCTCTTTGATCCCTCAGAGACATCCAAGAGTTCTCTGAACTGCTGTTCTTGATAATGCTAAAGATTCACTATATTTGGAACAGCCTTGTTGACCCGCCTTTGCCCACGGGACCTGGTTTTGATTTTATTCATCTTATTGTACCTTTTCAGTTAATTCACTGTAGTTGAGCATCCATTTAA